CTTGCATGTCAAGGTGCCAAGTTGAGCTGGCCGTGAGCTTGCATTTCAAGCTTTAGGCCAATTAAGGGCTGCCATGTGGATGATCAAAGATGCTGTGCTGCCAATGGGAATTGGCCATGTCGAGTGCTCGGTTTGGTTCCAAAGATGGGCTACAAGGAGTGGAAACTGAGCTTGTTGGCTGGTTGAGTGAGTTTAGGGAGTTGGAGGCTAGCCAGGTGGGCATTCCATTAGGTTTGCTTGAGGCTAGGTTGGGTAAGGCTTGCTTGGGTTTGCTTGAGGCTAGGTTAACTTTGGCCATGGAAAGTTTGGCTTGGGTGTTGGCTTTGAACATAGATTGGGTATAGCAAGCTTGAGTTGATTCATAGTTTGGGGCTTGGGTTTGGAGTTTGAATGTGGAGTTTAGATGGGTTGAGTTTGCAAATTTGAAATTGGGTTTATGATGTGGCAAAGGTTTAGGTGTGAACATGGGTTTAGATTTGAATATGATGTTGAGAGGTGTTCAATAATGAGTTAAGAGTTTGACTTGGTTTAAATTAGGATTGGATTTTTTTATTAAATTTAATCTTAAATGTATATTGATTTAAACTTAATTTGTATTTGATTTAAAATGTGAGTTTAAAATTAATTTGTGTTTGATTTAAAGTGTGAGATTGAAGTTAATTTGAATTGAATTTATATATGAATGTTTGATTTAAGTTTGAATTTAATTTGGCTTTTTGATTATCAGATTTAATATGAATCGGATTAAGTTTTACTTTGATGATTCAATTATTCAAATTTTTAAGTGAATTCATATTTATTTCAAATTAGGATCCAAATTTTGATGTATCTTAATTTATTTTTTATTTATGAAATAATTTGCTTATAAATTTTAATAGATAAATTTTTTATCTAAATTTTAAGCTCATTTGGTTCATTTTTATTTTATTTGACTTTGTTTTTTTAATTATCTTTAATTGCTTTTAAGATCAACTCAATCATGGTTCAAAATGAATTTGAATTTTATTGGATTTGATTTGATTTCATTAATTTAATTTTGATTTAATTGTATTTTTAATTTATTTTAAGATTAATTCAATCCTGGTTCAAATTCAGCATTAATTCGTTCATTTTCTAAACCAAAGATTGAATTGAAGAAAGTGGTCTAGAGTTGTTATGTGTGTCTCAGAGGATTCAAAGATGCCTAAGCCATGGAGTTAGGTTTCTAGACCCAATGGGTTACCTAAAAGAGCATAACCAAGATTTTATTGGAGCATTCAACCTTTAGTTTTAATAACTTGGCTATAATCAACTTAACACCAAAATATGGGCTAATCATTGAAGTCATGTGTATTTAAAAACCTAAGAGAGTGAAGATTTGGTGGTTTTCAACCAATCACTAATCTTCTAGGATAGCCTCTAAGGAAAGAAGAAGAGGGGCATATATCTTATCCAAAAATGAGGTCAACACATCTCAAACTTAGAGGCAGTGTCTAAATCAAAATAGATCCGAGCCACACCCAACTCTGTAGATTATACAGAAAGTACTAAACTCCATCGAGTATATTGAAACTAAGAACTTTCACTAAATTAGAGCTAGGAGAATATGCTTAAACAAGAAGAAGATGAATAGCAGAATACAACATACTGAAAGGATTTTCTCATTAAAAAAGTAGAATTAATTAAGAATTAAATCTTATTTGATGTTCACTATAAGCCAGCTAGTATATAAGGGCATGTGAGAAAGTTTTTGAACCAGGACATTGGTCCCAAAGCCGCCTAGGTAGTTCTAAGGGAAGTGGAGAGGATATCGCCATTAGAGGTAATTACAGTATAACTAACCTATGGTTGCTACCTCTCCTCAAGTTCACAATCATCGGGCTTGATTGTGAGCTTGTGACATAGGTTGGTGAATTGAGATGCTGGTAGGATTTTAGTTAAAATGTTTATTGTTTGATATGGAGAAGTTATTTGTTTAATCTGGATGTCTCCCACTGCAATATCATCTCGAATAATGTGGTGATTGATTTTCACATGTTTGGTCCAGATGTGAAATATATGGTCGAGTGTTATGGCGATTGCTGAAGTATTATCACAGAATAATTGAGCGATATGACATCTATAGTGTCGGCTGCAAGAGCTCTGTATTATGCTTCTGTTAAGGATCTTGCAAATGTTTATTGTTTCTGTACAGTCCAGAATATGAGACTTGTGCCAAGGAACGATTAGCGGCCAGATGTGGACCAACAATCTTGATTGTCTTCTGCCCAGTCAGAATCAAAATAGCATCTGAGTGGAAGGTCACCTGGTGTGAGCGTAAATCCATGATTGAGAGTGCTCTTGAGATAACGTAGGAGGTGTTTGATGAGCTGAATGTGGTATAACCTTGGTTGATGCATTTTTGTCATATGTATTTGATAACAGAGGCTGTATCAGGTCTCATAATTGTGATGAATTGTAGTGAGCTAGCTAATTGGTGATTTTGTGTTGGATTGGAGTAGTCCTGTTGGGAAAGTGAGTTGGTTTCAGTTTATGAGTTGAAGGGTGCTGATCAGTTTACTGTTAGGCATTCCCATTTATTGTAGGATTGAAATGATGTGTGCTATCTGAGTTAGATGAAACCCTTGAGATGATTGGATATTGTCATATACCATAATGATGTGTGCTATCTGAGTTAGATGAAACCCTTGAGATGATTGGATATTGTCATATACCATTGTCTTGGGGCTTGTTTGAGGTCATAGATAGCCTTTGTTAGGAGACGCATGGTTTGGATTGGGAACCAGGTGGTTGGCTCATTTAACTTGTTTTTCTCTAATGATCCACAGAGGAAAGCATTGGTTATGTCTAACTGTGGGACAACCCATTGATGATGGAGAGCTTGAGTGAGGAGTACACGTATTATTGGTAGTGTTGCCATTGAGCTAAGCATTTATGATTAATCAGATCCTATCTCTTGTTTAAACCCCTTTGTAATTTGCCTCGCTTTATGTTTAGAGATGATTTCATATGTGTTGAATTTTGTCTGTAAGTCCACATGCAGCCAATGAGATTCTAATTTGGAGGGAGAGGTACAAAAGACCAAGTCCCTTGACTTTGGAGTGCCTGAAACTACCTCTATTGGAGATGTCCTCTCCATTTCCCTTATAACTACCTAGGCTGCTTTTGTTAGTGTGTATGGAAGGATGGTGGGGGATATATTGGTCTCTCATATGTACCTTAGCCCTCACATATGAACCTTAGACATTAGACCTACATTAACCTATGGTCTATATTGGCTCACAAGGATTGTGAAGTTTGGGCCATTTAAAACTCCAATCAACTTAATCTTATGCCATGATTTAAAAATTGAACAAGTTTTTTACAAGTCAAATTAGATACCAAAATTTAAGATTTTTTTTAATGATTCATGAAATAATCATAAACTCATTTTACTATAAACTCACGACTTTTCAAAAGATAGTGCTTAAAGCGATATGCATATTCATATCCTGAAGCAAATGATATTTAGATGATCAAATGTTTTAGTTTCAACAATCAATATTTTGTTGAGCTTATAAAAAAGACAACTCATGTGATGATCTACTCTGAAGAAAATATTTTGGTTCTTTATAACAAACCAAAAAATAGTGTTTTGGGCAATTTATTTTGTTTTGATCCTGACTATTAAGCCATGAACACCTTCGTTTGTGATTCACGATATCCACATAACATTGGAAAATTAATACAATTATTTTTTTTGAAGAGATGCCATTTCTTCTCTTTCTCCTCAATATTTGTGAAGCCTCCTTAATTAAGCTTTAGGACAACACTATTCTCAAAGACTAAACTAAAATCTAGTACTCCAAAAATCATTTCAAACTCCAATCTCAAAGACATATATACCAAGACTTAACAGATCTCCAACAAGAAGAATCTCAAAGCACAAGGTTTCTATGTAATGTCCATTGCTAGTTAGTCAGGATGGTCTAGCTCCTATCTTCAAAACAACATGCCGTGATCCTCACCTTTCTAATCAATTAGAGGATCAAAAGTCCCTTGGTATTTGTGCTCTTGCCTCTGATCAACTAGATAATCAAAATACCTCTAAGATTTGAGTAGATCTCTAACAACACTAATCTTAAAGTACACGATTACTATCTATCATTCCATTTCTTCGTGTGTCTGATGCTCTAGCTCCAATATTCAAAATAAGGGTCTTGATTCTCTAGTCTCCTTTTGATTGGAGTACCAAATAGTCCATTAGCATGAACATTTTAGTCAAACATGAATCTTAAAGATGAAGTTTCTCCATCCTCCATGTCTCACTAAAAGTAATAATGATCTTTTACCTGAGCAATTCTAAATACCCTTTAGTCTAAACACCCTTAATGTAAGGTTAATATTCATTCTAAATTATTTTATTCTCTAGAGAATTCTCTGTGGAGCATTTCTTAGGAAAAAAATAGCTCAAGTTAACTCGATCAAATTTTTAGTGAGGATGAGTCTCAAAGCTGTTGGATTTGTATCGATGTAAGTATAATTTAAACTTTGATTGATTCAATTATTTCTTTATTCTCCTTCATTTATTCATATCCAATTATCAACTTTATTAGAGCATCATCATGGAAAATACTTCTTAAGATAGACTCAACTTTTTCTTCCAGGTATAGCCATGCAGGAGTTGAATGATTGATGTGAACATCATGCCCTAAAGATCTCTGCTGATTTAAGACCAGTTCCAACATGTAGCAATTCTAAAATTAATTTAAGATAATCTTGAAATAGGATAGAAGCCCACAAACCTCTCCTTGGAATTAATGGAGGCTTCTTCATCATGAAGAATCTTTTTTATGCTGAGCCACCTGTCTTTGAATTCTTTTAGAGGCTCTTGCATTTAATTATTTATATTAAACACTTATATAATCTTTGAATTCAAAGAATATTCTAAATAATTTAACATGATTATTTGTTTAATGTTCTGCATTTTTTTAAATTTCATGATTCATTATTTTTCTCTCTGGTTCATGTTGTTGTTACAGGAATGACGAAGAACCAAAACTTTTTGGATGAAGTTTCAAATATTTTTGGAAAGGATGATGAAATATTGATTGTATGTTTTCTACTTTTGATCATTTTAGATTTTTTTTTTTTGGGGTGCAATTATCTGATTAATTTGTTGCAGGGTTGCCTGAGCGGGAAGAGGTCGCTCATGGCTGCATCCGAGCTTTCATCTGCGGTATAATAAAGACTAGTGTGATGTTCTCTGAAGTTTATCAACGTATAAATCAAACTAATAGTCATGGTTTTCTCCTTCTGTAGGGTTTTACAGGTTTGACAGATGTTGCCGGGGGCTATGCTAGTTGGGT